GTGCTCCTTGTTTAGAAATTCATCCTTGAATTATCTGGTTCTGCTTTATCCAAGTTTATATGGAAGTAGCTCAGGTTCAGCTTGCTGGGCCTGAGATTCCACGCCTTATATTCCTGGCTTACTCCAGTGGACCTGAAACAAGTCATTTGACTTGTAACTCAGCTTCATGAGCCTTGCATTTTGTTTTTCTCCCTTTATCTGGGAGCTGGCCAACTGGGAGGGTGGGGTTGGGACATTTGGCCTCAGCCTTTATATTCATTCTTTATAGGGCTACAGATGTAGACTTTACAATCTCTAAATACAGTCAAGAAAGGCCCTGGTGGGATGAAATGAATATATTAATTGTATAGTCTTCACTACTACAGTTTTCCTGACTGTATTTTGGCATTTTTAGCTGTAGAATCTAACCCCCCCTAGAAGTGGTGTGATGGTCTTCAGCCTGTGAGAGGTCCTCCTAGGTTGGTTTCCTTCTTTTCTCTGGGGGTAAAAAGGATGGATAGGTGGAGTGTTAGCATTCCTGGTTAATGTCAGTGTTTGTTTTGCTGGATCCTTGTGTGTAGATGGGCACTAGAGTTCTTCAGAACTGGCACAGTAACAGCTGCATTTTCAGAGCATTGAGGGATGCTTGTGTGTGTGTGATTGTCCATTGGCAACTCTTTTGATGAGAGTAGTCCAAGAAGGTAGTTTGAGTATGAGAGACAGAACCAATGAGTCTATGATTACTTCAACAACAAAAAAATGCTAATTAGAAAGAGCAAACCACTAAATCTATGATTGCTTTCAGTAATAAATGCTAATTCATGACCCTTAAGATAATGTATGATTAGATTTGAAAGTCATTTTTGATAGAACCATTTGCAGATCACATCATGCAAATTGGCAGAATAATTAGCATAAGTGTATGAATGCTTCCTGTGAATTGGATAAAAAAATAAGAATTGTGGCAGGTGCTGTAGGTTTTGGTTGTGTTGAAAAGATCTTGACCAAAAAAAAAAAAAAAAGCCTGGTGGTAGTGGCGCACACCTTTAATCCCAGCATTTGGGAGGCAGGGGCAGGCAGATCTCTGAGTTCAAGGCCAGCCTGGTACAAAGCTAGCTCCAGGACAGCCAGAGTTGTTACACAGCAAAACCCTGTTAAAATATCAAAAAGAAAAGATCTTGACAAAACCCAAAATCTGAACATTGAGGATGAGAGGGGTGTGTGCGTGCGTGCGTGTGTAATCAGCCTACTAAGCTATGTACTCCATTGTAGGGTGTTAAATGTGTTAAATGTTTGTTCTGATGGCAGGTGATGCTGAGTGAAGTAGGGAATACTCTGTGTCCTTTATCCAGATTCAGGGAGTGGGGAAGAAAAAGCATAGTGTTCTTTGCAGCCACTTATAAAAATGCTAGATGAAATGGCCTTGTAACAGATAGTATGGTTCTTAAGTCTGAGTATGTCGAGGAGCTAGTGTAAGAAATGTAGAATATGTTCTTGAAGATGCAAGCAGTGTTTATAGGGACATTTTTTAAATCCATGTTCATAGTGAATTATTGAAGGAGAAAACAGATTTCTCATGGGTCTCACATCCTCCTGTATGTTGACTTTGCTTGTTAAATATTATTAAATGCTTTGATGGGAGATGCGTTCAGTGTAGCAAAAAATAGCAGGCCAGGAGATTGATGGTACAGACACCCATATCACTGACAGAACATAGTGTATCTCAGAGTGCTTGGTAAAGCATAAAGGATGTGTACAAATTTCCTTGTTTTGTTTCCAAAGAGCTGCCAGAAAGCACAAGTCACCGTGTTTTCTGTGTGTGTGTGTGTGTGTGTGTGTGTGTGTGTGTGTGTGTGTGTGTGAGAGAGAGAGAGAGAGAGAGAGAGAGAGAGAGAGAGAGAGAGAGAGAGAGAGAGAGAGAGAGAATATGAATGTAGGGGGTTCTGTGTACAAGTGCACATAATCTGTCTAATAGGGTTGATTTATTGCTATGTTTTTTAGTGCTGAGGGGAGACTCACAGCCTGGAATTCTGGTTTGAGCTTTTTACATTTTAGCTGAATGACCACTGTTTCTTCATCACAGTTGGCCTCCAGAACAGTGTCTTGAGAATGAGGTACTAAAAATGTCCTTGACAGACCAGAGAGACTGTCAGGAGAACAGAGAACAGGTCAGGAGAGGAAGAGAGGGTAGCCTCCGTTCCCTTTTAGTTTCTGTCCATCATTTAATTATCCTCTGTTTTCTTTAGGTTTTGCAGTCAGTTCTGGCCAGAAACATTTGACACATTTTCACTGGGTAACTGAGGAGCGATTTATAAAAGTATGGACCAGATGTAGGTAGTAAAGGCTGGTAAGAGCCAGAACTCAAGAGAGGAAAGCCATTTGGAGGGCCTACTCAGCAGTAGTCCCTTGTGGTCTCTTGAAGGGGATGTTGCACATCTGAGTAGCAAGTGTAGCAACAGAACCCCTGCTTTCTCACTGCTGCCTCTGGCCTGTTGTGGCTAAGCTGTGAGGATAAGGCAACGGCCAAGGTGTTCATGAAACCTGTGCCAGGGCAGCACCCAGCAAGATGGGAAGGGGGAGAAAGGAGCCCTGGCTCTGTTTCTGGCAGTAAGAAATAATAATAGTAGCAATAACAATAAATCAATATTATGTTAAATTAATACAAATATAAAATATATTAATATTATTTATATTAAATTATTTATTATTAGTATTATCATCAACATCATTTTAAGGGCTCCAGCAATTTATCCAAAGAGATGACAAATGTTGACTGCTATTGCCTAAAACGATCTAAAGAAACACAAGCCAGTGTAGCTCATATTTCGTTCGTTATTTATCTTTTTATTTAAGGGATGATTATGTAAAGATTTTTCAGATGACCAGGAGGAAAGGGCCCTACTTCCTGACTCTGTTTGCTTTTTTCCTTTTTCATTAACTTTACAAATTAAGATTTCTTGGGGCTGGAGAAATGGCTCAGAGGTGGGTTAAGAACACATACCGCCCTTGCCGAGAACCCATGTCAGGTGGTTCACACCTGCCTCTAATTACAGGCCCACAAGGTTTGGCTCCCTCCTCTGGCCTCCTTGGGCACCTGTATTCGTGGGTACTTGTCTCTGCACAGACATGCCCCCCCAACCACGTCATTGAAAACAAACTCTTTGGGATCGAATAGATGACTCCGCAGCAGGAGCTCTTGATGCTCTTACAGAGAATCTGAGTTTGATCCCCAGAAAATATCTGGTGTCATCCTGTGCCTCTGGCCTCCTTGGGCACCTGCCCTCACAAACATACACATAACTTTTTTTTTTTAAAAAAGATACATAAATCTCTGCTGTTTTTGTAGTTTGAAGGACTGGCAGAGGTGTGATGGTCACGTCTATAGTCTGCCTTCAAGAACAGGTCCTTGGATGGGGATGGTAATAAAAAGCAAAAATCTTAAGTGTTTTTTCTTGCATCTTTTTAATTGCTCAAGAGAGTAAAGGTAGTAGTTCCTATAAATTATTGATTAATAATGATTACTAATATGTGGCTGCATTTCTAGTAGGTATAGACATTTCCAGGTATCTGGTATTCGTGGTGGGGATTATAGAATATTCATTATAATTTTCAAATTAACCTCACTAAAATGTGAATTAGCATTCACATTTCAGTGTTACATTTACATTTCAAGGTGTTCTTTATCACCTTATTAAAGTCATGGGCAGGCAGGGGGGTGGCTCAGTGTATAAAGCCTTAGCTACACAGGTGTGAGCACTGGAGCTCAGATTCTTGTCCCTTGCAAGTGTGGCCTCCTGATTCCAGTGTGAGAAGGGACCCTCAGAATAGGCTGGTTAACTATATTAGCGAAATCCGTGAGCTCTGAGTTCAACTGGAAAGGCCTGCCTCAATGACTCTGGAGGAGAGTGATCAAAGACAGCTCCTGACACTCACCTTGGGCCTCCATGTGCACATGTTTGTGCATGTACCCACACATAAAATAAATAAGTAAACAAACCACCTACAGTAGAACATTGGGTCCAGAATCACCTTTCATTGTAACATCTGGGAGCTCTGTATTGCCTGACAGTATTTAAGATACTTTGGTAAAAATTTATATTTATTTGAATCTTTGTGATTGTTTATGAAGACAACAATAAAATCTAAACATCAGAAAAGCAAAATGGAATGAGAGCAGATTTGCAGTTCTAGCTCTTGGTCTCCTTCCTCCCTCCCATTTCCTCTTCCTTCTCTTCCTGTTTTTAGCAGACTTGCTGGGAGGAAGACCATCACTTCTCATTCTGCTCTGTCCTACTTAAATATCGAGAGTGTTTTTTGTTTTTTTTTTAAATGTTCTTAACATTGTTGGGGAGTAGAAAAGAACATGACACTTGCATTCAGAATTGTGAAGTTTTTAGATTTAGAAATGTATATTGAAGATGGCAAAGAAAAAAAAACAGAAGAAAAACATCTACTAACAATAATTTGTTTCTCGTGAGTGACAGAGAGATAGCTCAACTAACCAGGCCCCGGAAATAAACACCGTGGATACTGTGGTCCAGAGCATAACCTGTGTTCTGTTCTGCCAGCAATCTGTTGTCTACTTTTGCCCCAGTTCTAGACTGGAGAAAAACGTGTGAGGCTTTAGGTCTTCGCCTCTCGTTTATTTCGGAAACGTGTCAGTGTAAGGGTATAGCCATTTCCGGAGTGTGGGATGCGTTCCAGACATACCCAGGGAGAGGACTTTGTCAGGTTTCGGTTATTTTCCAGTGATGCAGTTGCACTTGTTTCTCAGAGGCGTAGGGCTGCAAGTCACTGTTCGGTAAATTTATGCTCAGGGGCTTCCTAAGGTGTGAATAGTTTTTGAGCTCATTTGCCTTTAAAATGGACCATCACCGGTCTGATTCTCTGTGTCCTCTATAGGTAGCACTTTGACTTCCTATGGGTACTTCTCCCAGCAGGTCTTTCGGGCTCTGCGGAATCCAGGCCAGTGTATAGTTTGTAACCCAGGAGTCCAAAACAGGAGTGTGATCTAATGTGCTGCTGCCATTTCCATTCCAGGGACAGGAGAGAGTGGCAAGAGCACCTTCATCAAGCAGATGAGGATCATCCATGGGTCGGGATACTCCGATGAAGACAAGAGGGGCTTTACCAAACTGGTGTATCAGAACATCTTCACAGCCATGCAGGCCATGATCAGAGCTATGGACACTCTCAAGATACCATACAAGTATGAACACAATAAGGTGAGTGAACTCATTGGAACAGTTGGCAGAGTGGTTCATGGTGTCTTAGCACTTCTACAATGGACCCGAGGTGTTAGAAATGCACTCTTTTCTTCCCCTTCCTCCTTGTACCCTCCCCTCCCCCTCATCTCCTTCCTTCTTCTCCTCTCCCTCTATGCCTCCCCTCTGTGTATATGTTATAAAACAAAAGATAGCCTAACCGTTATCTGGCCTGTTTGATACTAGGAAATTGTTCCCAGGTACAAAATTGGTTCTAGCTTTTGGAATGCTGCAGCACTATTGGAATTTCCTTTGCTATTGCCTAAGTGTTACTTCATTGAATGGGAAGTATCTCTGGCTATGGAAGGAGCTGTGGACCAGATGGCATAGCACTGCATGTCTTTTTATAAGCCTCACTCTATCCTAAGGATTCCAGACTCAGGAAGCAGCTTTTAATAAATTGCAGTAAGTTGCACACTTTTACCAAACCAAGATTAATTTTCCTTGAGTGTAGGTACCCATTATCTTGGCTTAGGGAATTCTTTACTAAACAAGCATGTTTACATATTGGTGAGCTGCTTCTGACCACCCTAAGTTGAATGAACATGTTTTAGGATTTCTTTTGAACATACAGTGATCTAGAGTTTGTTTATTTGTAAATAACATCTTGTCTTTTCTCTGAATACAAGTGTTCATACCTAATGATAAAGGAGATTGTCATTTAGTAAAACCTACTTATGCAAAGTGTATAAACATGAGATTACTTCATTATTTAATTCTTTCTAATAGAGTGAATTTCCATCATCTTACACAGATATGCTCTTTTGATTACATTCTCTGTCTTGGTCTGGAATTTGGTAGTTAATAAAAAGGAAGCAACCCACTGCCTCTGAGTTAGCATGGCTAGGGATTTGTCAGCAATTACAGCTTGGAGAAGATGGTCTGGATTTGGCAGTTGGTGGTGTTCCTATATTCCTCTTGTAGTTTTTTATATGTGCATGCATTGCAGGAAGCAAGCATGCTCCTTGGTAATATTTCCACTACAACGTGTCAGGAACAAAGCAGAGGCTTTTGTTCATTAAATAGAGCACTCCAGATAGGGGATCCTGGTATCCCTTTGCAGCTGACTTGTGATTTCTGTGAACTGTCCAGTCAGGGTATCAGGCAGGGTAAAAGGATCTATAATCTGCCCCATTGCCAGTCTCGGCAATAGAAAAGCACCTAACTTGGTGCTGTTACATGAAAAGAAATGATGTTGAGGACTCACCCTGTGCTACGCTGAGCCGACAGCTCCGTTTTTCCTTTTGTTCTATGTTTTGAGCATCCCTGATCTGAAAATCTAAGATTTCAAATGTTATGGTGCTCTTGTGGAGGGTAAAGGACAGCTTGCAGGAGTCAGTCCCTCCCCCTACCATGTGGGTCCTAGGGATTGAATTCAGGTTGTCAGTATACATGGCAAGTGCCTTTACCTGCCGAGCCTTCTTGTTGACTCCTTGTGTAAATTCAGTAAAATTACTAAAAACCAAAAAAGAAATCTGTGTAAGATTTCCACCAGGCTCTGTACATACCATAAGCATTAAAGAAATGACTTTTTGTTTAGATTTAAGTCCCATCTTACAGATACGTGTGTATGTATGTATGTTACCAAATCCAAAACCTCTGAATTCTAGAATGTTTCTGGTACGAGCATTTCTGACAAGGGATTCTCAGCTTTACATAGTTTCTGAGTTTAGTCTTGTAAGTTCTGATGACCAGGCTCATTCAGCAACTAGTTGACTTCTAGCTCCCTTTGCTTGAGTAGCTGAGGACTTTGTTTTTATTATGTTTGTTATCACAACACCTGTCTTTCCTTTTCGTTTGGGGTGGAGAGGTACTAAGAGGACCAGAACTAAGGTGTCTAAGAATGAGGAAGGACAGTCCCAGGAAGGCTGCTCAGTAGGGTGGGGGTTGGGGGTAATCCAGTCAGTAAAGCACTTGCCTCGTGCCCAAGAATAAGGAAGGACAGTCCCAGGAAGGCAGCTCAGTAGGGTGGTGGCCTGTGGGGTGGAGCGGGTGGGTGATTCAGTCAGTAAAACTCTTGCCTTGCAAACATGAAGATCTGGGTTCACTCCTCAGACTCCAGTTGAAAATGCTGAGGCATGGTTACACAAGCATGCAATCCCAGCACTGGAGAAGCAAAGACAGGAAGGGTCCCTAAGGCTTCAGGTTAATGAGAGACCCTGAGAAGGATAGCAAGGTTGTCCTCCGGCCTTCACACTCTGATTGCAATCAGAGAAGCAGTGGAGAAACAACCAGCGACCCCTTCTCTCCTACTACTTTCTGTGTCTCTATATGTATTCTGGGTCCTCCAAAACCTCTATGGTTAGTTCTAGTCACCCAGTCACTAACTCTGCCCCCTGATTAAAGATTAAAGTTTATTGACAGTCTCGGGAGTGTCAGAGTTCAATCACAATATCATACAACACATGCGTACCCACACCTAGTCATAAACGTTTGTTAAAAATGGAGAGTGCCACATTAAATGCATTTAAATTTTTCTGAAAATTTTGCATTACTTAAAAACTCTCAAGATCCTCAAAGCTATTTTCCAAGTAGCCACAGTTCTGAAGGCTGCATCATCATATTCCTGCCTTTGATCAACTAAATAAGAAATTGCCACCTTTAAAAATTACAAACAAATAAAACCAAAAACAACACAAGGGAATTTTCTTAGTTCACAGAATGACTATGGGCTGAGCTGCACCATAGGAATTTCCACCTATATAAACAGAACTATTTGACATATGTTTTAATATGTTTGTCTGAAAAGTCAGATGAGCCAAAGAATCGCAGGCTGCAGAAGCCAACAACTGGCTGAGGAAGTAGGAGGAAACCTTTTGAGGGTGTGAGCTCACAGCAGGCCTGAGAAGCTGAAGGACTGGGCTTGGGAGAGAGGAACTGCAGCCAATTTCAGTCTTTCATCACTCACTTCAGATTCCGATTCCTGGGAAACGTGTTGGATTGGCCTAGCCTGGATTCTTTGCTAGTTCTTTAGAGGGGGAAGGAAGTCTGGTCAGTGGGATTGACAGTCCCTGGGGGAGATCTGGGTACTGCTGGTGGATGAAGGAGAAGGGTGCTGGCCCGGCTTCCAAATCTCTATTGCAAAAGTGCACTGTCAGTTTATAACGTGAAATGACATGTGAATTCTGTGCAGATACAAGCCCTCTGAGTTTACTTAGCATTTACCCTAAAATAAAATTTCTTATTCCGAACTTACTCGAGGTTACAAGATGGGAAGGGGCTCAAGAGGATGGTGAATCAGTAATAGCTGTATATGTGACAAGTATATACCAGCATTTTACTCCAAGCACAGAAAAGCCAAGCAGTCTTGAGATTTTCATAGTTCATGTGAAACCTTCATTTCTTTATAGTTGGGCTCCAGTTGTCTTACATGTGGAAGTAGGAAAAGTAATAAGTTGGTTTTAAAATTCAAAAAGCAGTGCACATGAAAGTGTCTTCTAAAAGTGTCAGCGAGTGTCAAGGCAGTCCACAGTGCATTGTCCTCACGGAGAGAATAGATGGGCTAACCTTACATCTTTATGTCTTAGACAGCATGAATGAATTTAGGAGGCGTCTACAGAAAAGCTGGCCCCTCAGGTGACGGCCATTGTAATGGGATGCCAAGGGAGGCACAGCACTCCTTATCTGGATGTGTTCAAAATAGAGTGGATCTTTGACATGTGAATTTCTCTAAAGCAGTTTTTCTAAATGAAAGCAGGTGATGGGCTAGGCAGCCTGACATCCCTTCTAACACTTGTCCTCATGCTGATCTCCCTGTTTTAAAGTCTCTAGGAGGCAGCTGTGGTTAGAACTCTTACTGCAGTGTGAGGCTCCTACCTTTCTTGAACTTTGTCCATTCTTGGAAATAAAAAGGAAAAGAAAAAAGACATAAACTAACGGATTTTGTTTAGACGGTATCTCTAGTTCTTTAGTATTTTCCCTCTTTCTGAGTCCCATGAATAAAGTAAATAAGTAAAAATAATTATTTACATTTTTGCAGGGGTTTTTAGTATTCAAAGTTCAAAATAAGGTAGAAATTTTGGGTAAGTATTATTGGTAGCTTGCTAATGAAGATCTTTGAGAATTTTATGGTTTCTTTAAAACAGGAAAAGAATAAAAGAATTGAGGGACTTTCATGACTAATTTGATCAGTCAGTCAATTTTTTCTGGGTTTATTGACCACTTTTTCCCAATTCTCCAGGACTCTCTGGGGGAGTTGAATTGATACTGAATCTCTAGTGACTGCATCAGTTACTCTAGTCTAGTTTATTGGTGTGTGTAGGTTTGTATGCCTCTGTGAGTGTAGGTGTACGTGTGTGTGTGTGTGTGTGTGTGTGCGCGCACGCGCGCCCTTGGATTTACAGAGACCAAAAAAAAAAAGGCATTGGAGCCTCAGAGATAGAGTTAAAAGCATTGCAGAATGCCTGGCTTGTTATGTGTTGCTGGGAACTGATTTCTGGTCTTCATGATTGTGTAGCAAATGCTCTTAACTACCCTTATTATCAGTTTAAAAAACCCCTTTCTATGATCTGCATCTCTCTTCTTGCTAAGAATTGACTTATCTCTTATATGTATGGGAGCACATGCTTTCTGTAGTGTGTGTGGGGAGAGGACAACCTGCAGGAATCGATTCTCTCTTTCCACCATGTGGGTCCTTGTTGTCACACTCAGATCACAAGGCCTGGTGGCAGGTGTCATTTGTTACCTGCTGACCTATCCAGCTCCTTTGTTTTCTTTTTAATATGTTGAAAGTACTTTGTAGTCATATTTTCCTGCACTTGATTCCATTGCAGTTACTTATTCACTTTATTTTCATGACAGGCTTAAGTAGAAAATGAATATGAGATTTTTCTCCCCCTTCTCCTCGTCCTTTTGAAACAGTCTTTTGTAACCCATCTGGCCTTAAACTTGCTGTGTAGTAGAAGATAACCCTGAGTTTCTTGCTTCCTCCTTTTTAGTACTGGGATTACAGGTGGGCACTA